TAACTTGCCAAATTGTTTCAACTAGACAGCTTTCCCTCTCTTTAATCTGCCAGCTTTCACCAATTCTCTTTCTCTTGCTCAATGGGCACAAAAGACAGATCAACAAGTACACTGTATAGTTTGATATTCATCTGGGGAGTCTAGTTCCTCTTTCTCACAGGCAACTCCATTCTCTATGAGGGATTCTTTCAGAGCCTTTCTCCTCAACCTGGCTGGAAGAAAAGGAAGCTAACATCCCCCTTCCTGTAGGGAGGTAAATAAAAATCCAAACAACTTTTGACTCCAACAGTTACAGATGGGACAGTTATAGACAGACGATAGATAGATGATAGATAGATAGACAGACACAAATGTAGATCACAATCTCCCTTACTTTTCTTTTGTTACTTATATAAATTGGGAGTCATATGCCTGAGATCATGACTGAGTGAGACAAGTTAGTTAAAATCCACTTAATAAATCATGAAGGGGGTATCCGGACCTCAATTTTTTTTTTTGAGGGGGATAGTGAATCTTTTTTCTCTTTAACTGGAGATCTACCTTGCCAATCCCAAAGTAAAAAAAAATTTGTCTTTACACCTTGTTATGCATTTTGCGCCTATCGTTTTTCTTGTCAGGGAGACTACAAGGATAACAATATTGAAATTAATTATAAGTCTCTAGAAAGAAGGAACAACTTTTCTTTGTTTTAACTTAGTGTCTTAATTAAACCAGCAGCTTTGAGCCAATAGCATTCACCTGACTCTTCCAATGTATTTCATGAGGGTAATCCTCTTTATCTATGAAGAATTGCAGTGAATATATTACGTCCTAATTATATTCAAGAACATGAACATGTAATCCAGAAGGCCAATATTCCATTTTACATTTTTGTTGAGGAATTGCTTTTGATCAAAGAGGGCATTGCTGGCTACAGTTCAGAGGGCATGGGAGACAAAGGGCCCAGGAAATAAAGAAGAGAAGCAGAAAGTATACATATATGCATCAAAGCCTTTGAGTCCTAGAAGAGAAAGGACTATGAAGAAACTACTCCGTGGGCACAGGCGAACTGAACAACAAACCATATCTACAGACCTGAATAGTGGCAAGGACAGTTAGGAAGCTATCTCAGTAACCTGGACCAGAGATGATGGTTGCTGGGACCAGGATATGAGCAGTGGAGAAAGTAAGAATTAGACGGGTTTTGGATATATGTCAAAGGAAGAGCTAACAGGCTTTTTTTGTTGTTGTTTGTTTGTTTTTCCTGATAAGTTGTGTATGGCTGTGATAGAAAGAAAGGAGTCAGTAATTACACCAAGAATTTGGGCCTGAATTACTAGAAGAAGAGAGTGCTATGAATGAGGATGGAGAAAGTCTGTGACCGTAGCAGGTTTGCAGTGATTGGGGGAGAGCAGATCAGTTTTGGACAGTTTGAGGTACCTATTAAACATCTAAGTGGAGATGTTGAGTAGGAAGCTAAGTATATGAGTCTGGACTTCAGGGCAGAGTATTAGGTTAGATGTATAAATTTGAGACACATAAGCTCTTAGATGTTATTTAAAGTTGAAGACTGGATGAAAATTATCGATAAAGTAGAAATAGAGAAGAGAAAATATCCATGACCTACCTCTAGAACACACACTAAGAGAGATCACACAGGTGAGGAGAAACCAGGAAGAGAGACTAAAATGAGCTTGAGTAGTATGTTTGATAAAATGAAATTGAACAAAGTATATAATTTTGGACTTGTATAACTTTTTTCATGAACAGATGACTAATTTTACAATGTTAAACTATTAAAGAACATTTCAGATTTTGAAACAAAATAATGAATACATTTTGACCCAACTCTCATTTTTGGTCTGCAAATAAATCCTTCTCATCTNATAGAGAAACATTCAAGAAAAAACAAAAAAACAAAAACAGATGTAGAAATATGCCCAAAGCAGAAAGCAGTACAGAATATAAGATGAAAAAAATAAATAAATAAATAAAATAAAAAAACTTTGGAACAAAAAACTAATAACAAATATTAATAACAAATATTTGAATGTGTAAAGAGGAACCTAAACATGATATGAATAATGATACAAACAAAAACGCAAAACTTATTGCCCAACCTTGTAATTTTGCCACCTTCATGTACTGCTTGTAATATATAGTTAATAATTTTCTTTAAATGGACACTTTTATTTTAATTTAAATGACCTCTTTAGACTTGCTCTAAGCAAGAATATCTATTCTTTTGTGTACAGTTATATTGTTTTTTGCGAAATGCCTGAAAATAAATATGTAGCTACTGAAATTTAAGAAATGCTTATACATTTAACACCTAAAATAAGCTTGTATACCTCCAGGTAGAAAGGTACTATAATTTAAAAAAGACTTTTTTAAAAGTCAGTAAGTAACTATCCCTGATTAAACAATGGAAACTTGGAATATAAGAAAACAGAAAGATCAAGACCATATGAGATATTTTCCAAGTCCCATTCATTCATTAATTAATCATTTACTTATTCATATTTCCGTTATGCAACAAAAAATTGTATGTCTGGTATGTGCCTGTGTGGTATTTACACTACTTCTACTAATTAACATTTATTGAATGTTTCCTATGTGGCAGCTGCTGTGTGTAAGAAGTCCCTTAGACTATTTTACATAATGCTCAAAATAATGCAGGCATATATGTCTTATTATTACAGATAAGAGCATTGATATGTAGAGAATTTAAATAATTTGCATATCGGCTATAGCAAGGATTTGAACAGAGGCAATTTGACTTTAGAAATTTCTTTCTAATGTCATGAAGATACTCTTCTTCCTTTCTTTATAATGTCCATGTGCAAAAGACAGAAATATAAACAAAAAGTAATAATGTCATAAATTCTATAAAAAAAAATATGTCCATTGGACAAGAGGTCTGTCTGAAAGAGGGCATGAAGTCTTCATGGAAGAAATTCTGTGTAATTTGACTCTTTAAGGATGTGAGAGTTCACCAGGACAAAAAAGAGAGGATATTGTAAATGAAAGCAACAGCATGTGCAAAATGTACAAAGTCGAGTTAACACAATGTTACTTTTTTAGGGAACCAAGAAGTGATGGGAGATGAAGAAATACGAGTAGAAAAAGGACCTATATTAATAAAAGATGAAGGGGAATATAGTTAATAATACTGATAAGTTTGCACAGTGACAGATGATTACTAGAATTAATGGGGGGATCACATTGCAAGGTATAATAATGTCAAATCACTAGATTGCACATGTGCAAATTAATGTAAGTAATATAATATCGGGCTGTTGGAAAAGTGATAACGTATTTTTTCTATGTTTTTCATTGCAAAAATGCATCATGACTTTTCCGACAACCCAATGTTTTATACCAACTACACCTAATTTTAAAAAATAAGTAAATAAAAAGTAAAGCGAACCATAGGCATTTGAAAAATTTCGGGCAAAGAATACATACACATATATAGACAAAGAATAAGATTTTCATTGCAATGCAAGTTGTGTGTAAGATGGACTAAGGCAGTGAACCTGAAGTTGGCGAGATCAGTTAGGAGGCCGATACAATTATCTAGGAAAGGAACCATCAGATTCTGAACTACATACAGTGGTTATAAGGAAGGGCAGAATATGAGAGATATTTAGGAAGCAGACTCAAAAGCATTTACTGATTACATGCAATGAGTAAGCAAAAGAAAGGTGTCTAAAGTGGCCATTGGGCCCCTGCCATGTACAGCAGGATGAATGGCGATGCCTGTTCACCAAAATGGGGAACGCAACACCGGAAGGAGTTTTATGTAGAAAGATAACAAGATTCAGAGCTGAGATGAAAAGGTCTGGGGAATATCACAAGAAACAACAGAAACATAGAATCCCGAGCTCTTGGCCATATCAGGTTTCATGGAGTTGGAGTGCTGACTCATTGTTGTGTTACTTGAAGTAGAATTAAACAACTACAAAATGCCCAGCATGTTTTAAGACCTGTATGAAAGAGTCACAAGTGCTGCAGACTATCTTCTGACAAAATCCTCTAGAGTAAAAATGCTACGGAATTCTATGGTTCCACAGCAGGAGGTTTCTTTCATCTGAGAAGTGGCACTTAGGTGCTCAGAAGGGGGTTGGGCACTGGGAGGGCTGGTTTTATGGGGGGGAGGGGGTCTGGCTGTAAGAGATTTTACAACGTGAACATTCTAACATCTGGCCTGATAGATAGCCTCTCTGTGGAGTTGCACATGACAAAATCGAGATGCCGCATCAGGGATTATCAAAGAGTGACAGTCC